TTGAACTGCAATTAATAAACCCTCTGACCCATTTGTTATTAGCAGCACAGCTGGGTTCCCTTTTCTTCTCTGCTGAACACTGGTAAGATACATTCTCTTACCATTTTACTGTCTCCACTTGACCTTAACATTAACATTCCACAGTGTGAAGGGGAGAGGGCTCACACGTATATCCTAATTCCTGTGTATATTCTACCCTGGAGTGCTGGAACATACAGTACTCACAAAAGAGTTCATTTGTGCAGTATCACTGATGAGCAGAGTGATTAATGAAGATGTGCACACAGATCTCAGTAAATGAGTGACAGTTCTGAGGGAAAAGTGACTTTTTTACTGCATTTTATTCTATAGTATTACTGTGTTTAAAATAGTGTTGTATCCAATATTGTACATAGTTCCACTATTGTACATAGATGGGAAAACTGTTTCTCGGGCTCTGCTGAACTGTGAAGTAGCAGAATAAAGCTCTTTCTTTAAAGTGTATGAGGTTGAAATAAAGATGGAAAAGTGAAGGATAATGGAAACCCAGTTCTGTTAGATCTACAATTTGGAAAATGATGTCTGCTTCTGAACAATCTAGTCAGTGCTCTGTTTCCTGAATCTGTCTTATGTGTTCCTCACATTACTGCATCACTTAATGCTTTCCTACCCCCTCAGTTACTGAAAAGTATTTACAGAGCTAAAATATACAGAATAAATGAAAAGTACTGATTTTTCTGACTAAATGCTGTGTTGCTGCTGCATTGTTATGTGGTGGGGTGTGTAGCAAGAGATGGTCATATAATTACAAAAAATTCTAACAGCAATATTCTCTTTCACTCTACTTACTGAGGAGCTCTTTAAGAATAGCTGAACATGGAGAATTGGTGAGTATTGAAACATGAATGATTAAAACCAGTTATGCTAATGCAATGTATTGTTCATTGCAATTACCAGGTTTCTTCTCAGTATAAATTATCCATACTTACACTGCATATGATACAAAGTAAGGAAATATGGGTGGCATGAAGTTTCAGTACAGCTTTGTCTTCACTGTTAACCCCCTGTTGAGAAATTGAGAATGGCTACCACCCTCTTTTGCATGCAGATTACAGGTTGTGTGCATTAGTTTAGTGCCAGCTAATGAGGTTCTATTGTTAAAAGTCCCCTGTGTAATTACCACTTTTTAGACTTGCAGCATGCTTGGTACCCCTACTAGAGCCATTAGATTTCTTCTGTTATTTACAGCATTGGCTCTGCTCTTTGCTATTGCAAATAAAAAGGAAATTTCTCTTACCAGGGATCTGTCATTTTGTCCTGTGTGTACAGCACAGTGCACAGCAGGACCCTAGCTGAGCCTGCTAGTGCTGCAGTAATGTGAGTAAATCAGAATCAGACTTGACTACTGCCCTTCTCTGGGAGCAGAGTTCAGCAATAGCTGCTTCTGCTGTGCTGTTTGTGCTGCCTGCACCCCGTGGCGTTATATCTTTCACTGGCCAGGGTCAGTCTGGAGCTGCTCACCTGGAATCACCTGTTATTACCAAAGTGTCAGACTATGCTAGTGCTTTACTCCTCTGTAATGATCACTGTTATAAATTTGATTTGTTCTTGTGGCATCCCTGCAAAGACTTTTTGATAAATTAGTCACCCATGTTTGCATTTCCTGAACTTGTCTCCTTCATATTCCATCTGCAAAAGAAATATTCCTCTTTTTGTTTAAATGAAAAGTAGATTTTCTCTGTGGGCAATATCCAGGAATACCCACTTGCTTATTTGTTGCAGGACTTGTTACATGGATTCTCAAAATAAATATTAGATAAGAGGCTACTGTTGAAATCTAGAAATTATCTCTATTTTCTAGTAAGATACTGTCTTATTGTGCTCACTCAGAAAAGTCAGTATTATTTATGCTTTGTAAGGAACAAGTTCTTAAAATCCATATTTTACATAGAGATTTTCTCAGAAGTGATATGTTGACTTTTTTCATCAGAAAAGGCATTTGATTGTGTTGGAAGTTTGTTATCTTTATGGCTGGGTTAACAGTCTGGACCAACATCTTCCACCTGAGTATCAATATGAACAACCAAGATTATAATCAGCAGTTTTGCATCTGAAGCCTTTGTTTTTTGAATTGTGACACTACGAAATTTCATCCCATGTGCTCACTGCCCCCCACCCTGATAAAGGAGGAAGGAATTGAAAGGTCTGGGCAATCATCTGAAGTTGTGATGTAAACCCTATTTAACACCCTGATCGAAAGTATGTGTATACCTTGCATGGTACACATTTGCTCCCCAGCCCGTCTTGAAGCTCCAGCTGTCAGCTGTTTCCTGTGTCCTTCTGACTTAGATGTTTCAATCTCTTTCACTGGATACAGATGCTACAATAACCCATGCTTCTGGTATTTTGTTTTCAGACATCTGCAGTGCAATCCATCTGGGATTATTTCACAATGTCATTCAAAGTTGAAAGCAAGTTCAAAAAAAAAAAAAAAAAAAGCAGCTGTCATTCATAGTAGGACACTTCATCTTGAGCTGATTATGCTCTGTGAACTGCAGGTTTCTAGCAGGTTTATGAGGCACAGCTTGAGCCACATGCCCATCAGGGCTTTGGAGAGTAAGCATATCTGCTTTAGATGGTTCTTCAGGTGATTATTTCTGCTGGAGGCTTGGACATGAGTTTAAAGAACTTCAGAAAATCTTTGCCCTAGACCATCTTTGTACAAAAAGGCAATCATTATTTTCTACCCTCCCAACCTGGGCAGAAAATTCATGACCTAATAGCTTCAGAGAGCAGATGTTTCCGTTATTCATTGTTGCTAGAATTTTTCTTGTGTATGGTGAAATTGCATGGTCATTCTACTCTTTTTCTCTTTGCTCTAAAATATTTTTAAAAATTGTATTTATTTTAGATCTGAATGCAGTGATCCTTTGTTCTGTTTATATGTTTATGGGAAGAAACATGAGCTGCTGTTGTTTGAAATATTCTTGTGATATCTAATGATGAGGAACAGCTGGGCTGGGTGGGCTGCATGGAAAATGCCTGGAAATGGGAGATTTAAGGGAGACCATTTCATGTAGAAAACTGGTATACCTTTCTCATTAGACCTAGACAACAGTGAAATCCTATGGCATATTTTATATTTTTTTTATCCCTGGCAATATCATGGATCTGTCTTTTCAAAGTGTTTGTCTGCTGCTACACACCTAGATTTTGAGGTTCCACAAGTAGCACCTATTTAACCAGCATGAGAATTCAGAAATAATTTTTTAAAAAATGAATAACACTACTGTTATAAAGTAGTCTACATGATTATGATCTGTAAAACTGCTTATAGTTTCTAAATTAACAATGATAATGAAATCAGGCTGGAATGTAGAGAAAATTATGTGGAACAGAACACTACCTATCCTTCTGGAAATACATGTGGTATGCAGGCTCAGATTAGAAGGCATAAACTGACAAATAAAAAGCAATATCCAGACAAAAAAAAAGAAAAAAAGAAAAAAGAGAAACATCTTTATTTCCTCAGCAGCAAACCTTGCACCAAAATAAAACATATCTGTTCTTGGATATTAGAAGTCTGCTGGGCAAGATGTTTGCTAAGAAATCCATATCTAGACTTGTCTCTAAACTCAGGTTTTCTGACTCTTGAAGTCACGGAATGAATAGAAAACAGAAGATTCATCTTCTCATATCTCTTTGAAGTTATTTTTATCTTTGCAACTATTTTTCATGCTGGTGGTTCACCTCAGGCATGCTGGACTGGAAGTATGAGAGGTACTATTCACTGCACAGAAATGCACCAGTCCTTGTGTTTGCGGTCCAAACTGTCTGCTGCTGAACACAGAGTGGATTTACGCCAGGTCAGATCTGACCATGCACCTCCCTGCAGTCCTCCTCTTGGTTTACTGTACACACATCCATTTTCTTTGTAATATATGCACACCTTTTTTTGGTAACATTTGATTCTCACCTCCACCCCCGTTCATTGCAGGGGTTAGCTGCAGTCAGTAAGGATGAGCGGGTCCCAGGGAGCAGTGAACGCCGTGGGGATGGAAGGAGCAGAGCTGTTAGCTGGAGGCGTTGGGAGGGAGGAGAGGGGGAAGCCTGAAGCTCCGCACAACTCTTGGAGCAGGGCCTGCTCATGCATCCCTCTGCAGTAGCTGGGGACTGCCAGCTCTGAAATGGCTCAACTTGCAGAGCTGCCCGGGGCGCGAAGACCGGCCCTGCTCTCTGGAGAACAAGCTGCCCCTGCTGCTGTTCAGTGGCTCTGGAGACTTCCGAACTTTGCTCAGGGCTGACGGATTTTAAAGTAATTTCACTCTGAGTGAAAGTTCTTCGAAATAATTCCTAAACCCAGCTGTTTGCAGCTGTGGCCACGTCAGGGGCGAAGTCTGCGCGCTACGCCGCGGGCAGCCGCGCACCCGCTCCCAGCTGCCGCTTCAGCCCGTTCGGCCGCGCCCCACCGCAGCCGCGGGACCCCGGCCCGGGGCAGCTCTAGGGACAGCTAGCGGCGGTCACCCCCTCACGGGAGGCCGCCCCTCACTCTCGGCTGCACAGCGGGCGGCGGCCCCCGGGCCAGGCGGAGCGCGTCCGAGCGGCGCGGAGGTGCCGGCGGGGCCCGCGGGCAGCACATCGGACAGCGGCCGCCGCCCCGCCCGGCCCGGCCCGAGCGCGCCTGCGCGGGCCCGCGGGGCCGGAGGCGGGCGCGGAAGGTGCGCGCGCGCCGCCGCCCGCCCGCCCCCGCGCTGAGGTGTCGAGGCGGGGCCGGTGTGTCCCTCACGGCGGCGGCGGCGGCAGGAGCCGCACGGGCGGTGCCGCTGCGGGGACCCGCCCGCCCCCGTGCTGAGGTGCCGCTGTGTCCCTCACGGCGGCGGCAGCGGCAGCGGCAGGAGCCGCACGGGCGGTGCCGCTGCGGGGACCCGCCCGCGCCGCTCCGCCCGCGCCCCCCGGGCACAGCCCGCCGGCCGTGAGGGCTGTGCCGCGCTGCCCCCCCCCGCCCCGGGGCGCTATGAGCCATGAAGCCGCCCGGCAGCAGCTCCCTGCGGCAGCCTGGCTGCGACGGCCGCCGCCGCCCCGCGCTCCTGCCGCTCCTCGGCCACCTCGTCTCGCTGCTCCTGCTCCTCCATGGCTCCTCCTGCCCCCGGGCCCGCGCGGCCGCAGCGGCCGCCGGTGGGTATGGCGGGGGCGCGGGTGCGTGTGCCTGAGGTGTATGCGGCCCCTCGGTCGCTGTCCCCCGCGAGGGACCCCGGCAACATCCATTCCCCCTCAAACCATTCCTTCCTCCCTTCCCGCTCCCAGCTTTGTGTACGTGTCTGTGTCGGCGCGTGTAACCCCGGGGCTCAGTTAACATTTCCTTGGCTTGCTTGCTTGCACAAAAGAGAGGTACGTGCGGTGCCGGTGCTGCAGTGTGTTGGGTAGGGATGCTGTGCGTGGAAAGACGCCGGTGAGGGATGCGACGCAAAAAGCTTAGGTGGGCTTTGTATGTGTCACGATGCATGTGGACGGCGATCCGCTAATTTGTCTGCTTGGGGTCGGATTTTCATGTGTGCTCTGTTTATTTGCTCTTGGTTGCATTTAGGTGGAATGCTCTGAATGCAGTCTGTCTGTGCATCATGTTATTATTGTTAGTACATTGCTATTATTGTTAGTTACATTGTAATATTGTTATGTTGTTACATCGCGTTGATTGACTATCTTGAAATTTTAATGAGGAACGATACAGGATATCAGTTCAAAAGCTGCTGCTGAAGAGGGGTCTTGTCAAAGTTAAAAGAAGTAGAAATCAATTCCCTTTACATAATAGGAAGTTTAGCATTCAGTGCACATGGACTCTGAATTCAGTGTATGTTAGCAACATGGGGAGTATTCTTAGCTTTTTGTAGATTTTTTTTGGTGAAAAAATTTAGCTATCCAAGATGGGCTGGGGGTAACTACATATGCATTAAGTTGTTTTTTTTTTTCTTCTTAAAGGTTGAGAGATATTAAAATATTTATAATCTATGAGTGCATATGAAAATGTATATGCAATTAAATAAATAATGTTCTTTCTGAAACCATTTTATGTGTGAAAAATGAATCAAATCTAGCTCAATGAGTAAGCTACATTTTTGTTTGCTTGAGTGATTAGTAAAATGTTAGAAAACTGCAAGCAAATATGTAGCATTTTCATGGAAATAAACACATTCTGCCATGGAATTTACGGCTGGCATATCTTTCTTCCCCAGGCCTGCACTGGAATGAAACAGCAAGCGGTATAGAGGAAGTACTGGCAGATGAAGAGAATACATTTCAACAGAGTAACAGCAGTAACAGTAAAAATAACAGCTACAGCAATGCAATCCAGAAAGAAATCACACTGCCTTCAAGACTAATCTATTACATCAACAGAGACTCTGAGACTCCTTACCATATCCTGGATACCAGGGCAAGGCACCAGCAAAAACATGACAAGGTAGGGTAAAAAGAGGCTCATCTGCAGAATTTTCAAAACAGTGACATAAACAGTGACATGGAATGTGAAACTGTTTGTTTTAATCTGTAGATATTCAAGACTTAATGGTGGTCCCTACCACAATATTTAGGAATTAAAGGAGTACATGTAATTAAACAAGAATGTAATTTCCCTTGTGTTAACTTAAAAATAATTATTTTGAATTTCAGAATGGTTCAGAAACTGAACTGTAGATAAAACAAACGAGAATTAGATGAATTTGACTTGACTAATCAGTGTAGATTCTGGTGTCTTCACTTTTGGTACAGTACCATCCACAAAATGTTTCTTCCATAATAGCTCTAGACTGCAGAAGTATCTGCATAGGGAGCTTCTTTGGAATCCTAAACTTGCAGCATGAGTTACTGAGCTTTGAGTGTGCTGTGCAGCACCTAATACATGCAGCATTAATTTCCTGCCACTGTATGGCCAGTGAAGACCACTGTAAAGTGTCACCATTTTTTGTTAAACAGTACCTGCATTCTTCATTTTTAGTGGCAAGATCTAGTATTCCATTTTGTGTGGATGCAGCTAGTAAGTTGTTTGGATTTTTTTTTTTTCCTCTGAAATTGTATGGAATTGAACAAACTTTGGTTTTGTGGAATAACTTTATAAAGAAATAAACCTGTCTAAAGTATATCACTTATTACCCTTTAAATTTATTTCATCCTATTTTTGTAAATCTTTATTTAAAAAATTAATTTCTTCCTACAGGTAAAAGGTAAAGTGAAGGTAAAGATGGTTTGAATATAAAGAGATTGCCATGGTAGGGAAGAGACAGCAAAGCAAATCGGTGTGTGTGATATTACTGAAGGACTTAGCTATAATGGAGTTCCTACCTACTGCATAGAATTTCTCTTGAAATTTTAGACAGTGAATTTAATATATATGTACTTATGGTGATATTGATTATGGGCCATTTCAGATGTGGAATTAATAAGAAGGTACTGAATAATCTTTGAAAAAGAAAGTTGAGATATATGCATAGTTTTTATGTTTTAGTAGGAAGAAAGGTTGCTTCTTAGCTTATTGAACATGGATACTGGTGTGTGCCTTTGGATGCATCTCAATACACCAGTATGTTATGGCTGGCACAGAAAAGCTTTTTGTTTGTTGGAAACTGGAGCTACTTAAGAGAACACTACATTCAGAACTCTTACTCTTTCAAGTGAGGCCATTCTTTTAAATACACTTAAAACACTAAGGTCTTGCTGTGTTGCTCTTGGGAAGAAAGGGATTTCCAAGTGCTTGCAGACTTGCCTTTAGGAATAATGCTTCCTCCATGTTGCTGTATGTGGGATTTTTTTTTGAAATCCATAGGGGACAATGTCCACCAATATCTACACTTACCCATCACTGCCCAACAAGAACGTTGCTCTTCCTTCCTGTGCCCTACCATGTGTCTACATGTTGGAGTAAAGCTCTGCAGAAATCAGTGCTGACAGAATTGGTATTGATTTCCTTGGGCATGCTTGCTGCTGACTATTGTGTAAAGTGGATCTTCTTTCTACTCATTGTGTCCCTTTTAAGCACAGGTAATGCTAATGCTACAGTTTTTCCCAGAGAAGGGTTCCTTAATCCTGGGCCTTCATGGAGGGTGACATTATGTTGACTTCATTCTTCTGGCATGAAATTTCTATTGTTTTATATTTATTGTTTATATTTAATTGAAGGAAAGAATAGATTACGTGCATTGTCTGGATGGATTTTTAAATGTCTTGCTTCCAGATTGTCGTATCTGACACCTTCACCCCACCTTGCATCTTGTGCCTTTCCTTGCATGAAGTAATTTCTTTGCCCTTTCAGCTACTTTACAACAGCTAAAATATTTGTTATTTTATTATTTTCTTCTGTTTAATGTTTGCTATACTCTTCTATGTAGAGCAATGATTGAGGCCTGGGGGAAGTCTGGAAGGTGTAAAAGGAAAACAACCCAAACAGCCCATAAATAAAACAATGCAATTGATTGTGAAAGATACCCAGGGGTTGGTTTTGACTTATGGGGAGGATTCTTTTCAGTACTGGCTTTTATTCTTCCCCAGAATTAAAATAAATGCTATATTGTAATAAATCCTACTTGTGGTATTTTGATGTCTCTTTGGTAATAAAGAGAAGTAGCCAAAATACCTTTATAGTTAGGTAAAGAAAGGCATCTGTATTTAGGGTATGTTTTTTTTTTTTTATTTTAATACCATGTGAAAAAAAGTTAAGGCAGCCTTATATATGGATAGAGTGAAAAATGTTGAGGAAAAAAATGTATTTGTTCTTTTACTGTTCTTGGGACTATACATTTTAACCTGTATTTTCTTGTCAACCTTAATATGCCATTTATAGGCATATAATATGGAAACCGTCCATAGCTATTGATAATATTCAGTAGACTCCTTTCTGTGGAACTTCTCTATAGTGATCATAATAATGTAATATGGCCAGTTTGTGGGATTAGGCCTGAATGCCTCAGAAATGCTGAGTCACTCTAAGGAGTGGGTGAGACTAGAAGAAATGGTGTGCACGTGGGAAGAAAGAGGTAAAGTTGGAGAAATATAATTATGTAAAATTATTTAAAATATTTTTTAAAAGTCATGTCCCAAAAGTAAGGGTCTGTAGCGTTCTTCATGAAATGTTTGTAGAAATTAAACACTGGAGAGAAAACAGTGTACCAGAGAATAAAAAAAACTATAAATAATAAGTTACTTTATTAGCACTGATTCTCTATCCCTGTTTGGTGAAATGTCATCGTAGTGAGAAGGTGTACGTGATCAAGACCCTCTCTCATTCCTTGTTCTTGGAAAAAGCTTTTTATCACTGTTAAAGAAATGTTCACCATTGTTTTGACAAAGTGATCTATCTCCAAGGGGGACAGGGTTCTAGTAAATATTTTATTTTAGCTTTGTGCTCTTAAAAAAAGCAGATTTTAAATACTTGATGCTCGAAATCTCTAAATTCTGTGTACCTGTTTCCTCACAGTCAAATTAAGGCTATCTGGTTTTGAGTTCTTCTGAAGTTATTCTTAGTGCAAAATACTCAAAAATGAGCATCTATTTATAAAAACACACTGAAGAAGCTCATAGGAATCCTTAAACTTGATGAAGAGGTCTGAGTCACCTGTGTTCTGTCTTTTTAAACTTCTGCAGGTGGAGGTAGTGTTTTGGAGGTAATCTCTTTATTGAACCAGATGACTGCTTTGGTTCATTTTCATAAGCTACATACACAAGATTTTTAGGAGCTAGCAGGAAGACTGCATGGGGCACAACTTGTCACAAAAGGTTAGTAGCAAGTCCTTACGATGTCCAGCAGAAGGAAAAATCCTGGAGTGCAAGATGTTTGAACGTAATAGGATTGCTGGAGAAGCACATCCCAGGGCAACCTTAGCAAATTTTGAGTTGAAAATAGCTTGAACTGGATGCTTATGAAGGCAGACTGTACCTGCTGGACAGTTTCTGAATCACAAGTTTTCAGGAGCTCTAAAGAAGCCATCTCTTCATGCATAATTATAAGCTGTTAATGTAATTTTGGGGAGGAGAGAGGTGTTAGGAAAACTGTTTTGCAGATCCTAAAGAGGAAAAAATAAGGAAGAGTACTTTTGACTATGAAGATATTTCACCTTCCCCAAAAAACTTTGATTTATTTTTAACTATTTTTCATGGGGTGGAACTCCAGGTGTTTCTGATCAGGTCAGCTATTTTCCATTTACATAAAGAAAATACTCCTGCTAGGTGAATGCAGTAATCTTTGCTATGTTGCCTTACTTTAAAGGCTGAGATACAGTACTGTCTCAGTCCTCTATGTAATTTTAGTATGTGGCATATGAAAGTTGAGTAGGAAAGCATCCTTAAGATGAAGGAAAACCTCACTTTTCCATTTAAAAGGAAGCAATATTGAAGAAAAAGCAGGTTTTTTTTGCCAAAGACCAAATGTCACAATTGGTAAACTCTTAAGACATGGCATCATGTGAATTCTTACTAAAATCCAGATAAAAATCCTATGTACTATTTAGTCTTCCCTTTACATGCCTATTATAGGCTGTGTTTTCACTTTTAATCCCTGTGTAATGAAAACTGGTCAAAATAATAAATGAAATCCGTGTGACTTACATGTATTTTAGATTGTTGAAGAATCTTTGTTCTATTTCAGCTGGCTTTGCCTTTTTTTTTCCTTCTTTCCAGATCTTTCAGTGGTGCAGCTTCAGTTTGCACTACTTGTAAATGGAAGATTGTGTGTACTTTGTTTTTTTTTTCTATTCTATACTGAATTTATGTTAATAAAAAAGGCTTATCTTGACTCAGTGTCTTCAGTAGATACTAACAGGAGGATTGAAATTGGTTTTCCTGTCTTTGATTTCTGGGAGTAGGAGGTTTTCCTTATGCCAGCTTCTACTAGATGTAGATCTTTGTTTTTTAGCTGAAATGCGGGTCATGTTATTTCTACAACTTCTTAAATTATTTTTTTTAAAAAAAAATTCTGGATATTTCTGTGTCCTCTCATGATCTTCACACAATAAGTTACAGAAGGTTTCATTTCCTAAGTGTTAGGTAGTGCAACACTCGTATTTATTATGCCTTGTTCTGAAATAGAAATGAATTAAGTTTATAGGTTTTCTAGCATTTGTGGGAAGCTGGGTACTGCAGGAAGGTGGCCCAAGATAGGGATGCACTACTTTATGGAGTTGTACAAAACAATTCTCAAGAGGGATATGGCCAGTGTTTCTATAGAAGGGTATCTAAGTATTGCCATGTTGGGAGAGAATGGTGAGTTCTGGCCCTTGGGGTTTAGATGCACAACAGTAGGATTGCTTCCAGAGACAACTCTAGGTCTTTTTTCACATGCCCACAACCCTTCTTTCAAAGAGCAGCCTTCAGGCTTGGGGTTCAAGTGCATCGAAGTAATTCCTGTATTGTTAAAGTCCAGAGACAAATCATTAACAGGAGGTTTTCTGAAATGCTGTATGTTTTAAACATCACTTTTCAAATATTGCTGGGATATTTAGGTATTCTGTTTGAATATGAAATGCTTTATTTCCAGGGAGTAGTGGAAGGTTGTTTTGGTGGATGTGCCACACAGTAGACTGTAACCAAATGCTAGAAGAGGAAATGGTTACTGTATGGGGTCTGAGGATGGGCCAACAAGCTAAAAGCAGGATTATGAGCTAATATATAGTCAGTCCCATTGACTTGTGACAAAACTTAGGCTATTATTAGAATGAAGGTCTAGAGCAAAAAACTGTTTTGATGGTGTAAAATCCATCTAAATCTGACTTACATTTCTATTTCCATAATGAGAGTGATGAAACCCCTTGCTCAGCTTCTAAACTGAGAGGTAGCTTTTGGCCATTATTTTAGTCAGCAGAACAGCAAAAATAGATTTCTAAAAGCAATGAGCTTGTCCTTTGGAGATTGTATCTGTATGAATATAGCAAAAAGACTCATAGCTACCATCAGTCAGTTAAATAATGCTGTTACTTATGTTTAAAGACTTGTGACAGAACTTAGTATTTTTGAAGGGATAACACATGATTGCATTGGGCACAGTTTTACTGTGAAGAAAGTAAAATGAATATAGTAGTTTATTTTTGGTGATGATAATTGTAAATTTCCAGAAAGTCTGAAAAAAGTGAATTATCGATGCCCAAATGTGATAGTGAAAACAATGAAAGGATTCAAGTTGTGACAGATCAGTAAAACTGAGATTCCTGTTACTGCCATTTTTATATTGAAACATGCTCTAACCTAATGACTGATTAGAAAGAAACTGGAATTCATTATATGTATGGATTTTTAGCTTGGAAAAATTTTGAGAGCTACTACTTTACAGCTAAGCGACTTTGTAACTAAGCAGCTACAGCATTCTTAGAATGTCCCTAGTATGAAGAATCTCTTATTACAATGACTACACTAGTAATTTTAGCTTCCAGAAAACAGGGGAAAAAAGACTTTTTTTTCTAAAATTTGGGTATGACGACAGGAAGAATTTGAAAGACTCAGCCCTTTCTCCAAACCACATTTTTATACATCATCATTAAGTCTTTGCTGAAGAAAAACTTAATATAATTTTTTATTTTTTGGCTTTGCCATTGGAATAGGCTATAGCTGTCAAAGCAGGAATCTCTGCAGAGGTTTTTAAATGATAAGCAAACATGGACAAAGGAACTTGGTCACATCTTTATGTAAAAAAAGAATAGTTACGCAGGTGTGAGCATTTGCATGTGTGCAAGCCGTACAAGATGACGTTTAATACTTTACCTGAGAAAATATATATATATTCTTCAAAATACTTGATGGTCTACATTACTTTCTTGCTTGAATTTATTTTTCTATGCCAATGAGAAGAACACTGTATTTCAGATTTTACTTCAGGTATTTGTATTATACAGTAGCTGATGAGAGAATACAGTGAAATTATAAGGTGGATAACAGAATTGCAGATACTTTCCTGAAATATTTCCTCCCATCATTGTGGTACATGATGGTTGTAATGCTTAAAACACCTGGTGATAGTTCACTGGTAGCTTTCTATGCTAACTTATTGCAGGAAAATAATCAGTTTCAGGAGTAGATATTTAGTCTCATTACCTTCAGCTGGTTTCTGGTTTACGGCTTTTGGGGGTGGTTATCTATTGTTAAATTGGCTTAAGGGAATCTCTATTTGCTGTAGCAGCAGTGTATTGCATTCACCTGAATTCAAAACAGTGCTTTAGCTAAACTGCAGGGATTTAAAATCTTTTTGTAATCAATGGTTTCAGTTGTGTTTGGAGAACATGCCCTGCTGCAGGTCATCAAATTAGTGTCTGCTGCTTTGCAGCAATTGCTTTTATGTGCAGGCTGCATCTGTTAGTGACTCACACTAATAGATTGCAAGTAGTGTTTTTATATGCAGAAGTAGTTGCTTGCAGAAGCAACAATGTTGCTATATGTAATTCTACAAGAGGAAGGGGTTTTATGATATTGCAGACCAAGAATAAAAATTACTTTTAATAATTTGAAATTGCAGAAAGATAAATAATACATGGTTCGTGGCTTAGAAACTTGAAGGGTGATACACAGGTATCATTGAACAGGCTTGATCGGACAATAGAAAAGCTATAGCAGATCAGACTAGTCGTCCATCTAGCTGTCACTAAAATCTGTAGCTGATGCCTAGGGAGAGATTTCTCACATCTCAGAATTATCTTAATGGAATAGTTCATGCTCTTGTAAATTTTGCAGATAGTTAACACTGAAATCTTGTTTGTGGCATATATATGAAGACACATCGTTTTAGGTAAATGTTACCTGTGGAAGAGATTAAAAGCAGTAGCTTTTGTAACTTGAATCTTTATGGCATAAAACTAATTGAAGTCCTTTTCCTGTAACAAATTTTCATGCTTTAAAAAAAAATTAATACATGTGTATTTTGAAAACATAATAAAGTTTTTGTCATGAACAGGTGCTTGGAAGGCTCCTTGTGATACTTGTTCCTTGATTTCACTTAAAAAAAATGGATTTGGGCTGAAAAGCCTTTTCTACTAGGCATGTATTTAACCTGACATTCACTTAACTTATTTTTTTTAAATGTACATGCTAGCAGAGTCTCTCTGATCATGCCACCTGTTTGTGTTTATATTTAAACCCTCCTGCTCTGCTGATTCAGAGCAGCTGTAAACTCAGTTCTACCAGACCAGTGTTAGCAAATTGGTGAACTGGTAATACAACAATATCCATTTACCAAAAAATAGAACAGAGAGAAAGTTTAGTACTGGTTTGCTTCTATATGATTTTAGATATCATCTAGGAATAATATTTTTTTAATTCTTGTTTAGAGTAATTGTATTTTTTTAATAAACAAAGACAGGCTTTAGCTAAGATTGTTTAATGGCATTAAAGGTATTTAAAATTTTTTGTAAGTACATTACTTTTATTTTTAAAAAAAAGAAGCTTGATGATAAAGCTCTGTGACCCTGTTGAAAGGGAAATTATAATTCTGGCAGCAAAGAATGATAAAGTAATACAGGAAATGTCACAGCTGATTTTAGTCACAATAGCAACTTCAAAAAAAAATTATATTGAAGAATTTTCTGAAAGATGATGAATAACTTTGCTGAGAAAAAAGATAAAATTGGTGCTGCTTTGTGTAGTGCAAGAATGGAAGAGAAACATAAAGACCTTATCCTTTGTGGAGAAATTCCCAAAGAAGAACAGAACTGTGGGCCATAAAAGCTAACCTTCATACTATTTAAGTTATGCTGTAAACTAACTGGAACTTGATATCTTTTCTGTGATATACCTGAAGATTAATTGTGGTGTTTTATCAAAAATAGTTTTTTTTTTTGTCTTTTGACAGGCTTAGTCATAATATTCCAACTTTGTAATTATTAATACTGTATCAAATTAGTGTATAATAAGTAAGCATGATTTGATTAGAACATTATCAGGAAAGACACTATGAAATTCAGATTTAATCTTTTCAACCCTGCTGGAACAGTGTCTTTACAAAAAGAAATTCTGGGACCATGTCTTATCTCCCTATTTTTCTAGAAAACAGATAAGTGTGTTTTAAATGTCTTTCACTACAGTTATTACAGTATAGAGAAAAATACAGAATACAATTTGTCTGACAAGTACTGAATATCCCGACAAGCAAGATGAGCTAATGTTGATTTGTTGTACGTTGACCAGCATCAATATTCTTTATACTGGTTTAGCTACAGTGCCAAGTACAAAGCCATTAATTGTGAAGGGATTATTTTGAAGGATTTTTTCATAATGTGTAATATGAGCCTTGTCATATTTGATTTTCTTATTTGAAAGTATTACAAATGCTTTAATTATTTCAGTCTTTTAAAGCGCTAAAGTTTTCATATGCCCATGAGATTCATGAAAATAAGCATGTTTTCCATAACTTTGTTTTTCACAGTCACATTTGCTGTATATAAAACTCAGTGAATGTTTTGACAACTGTGTGTTTCTGTTTACAGGCTGTACATCTGGCCCAGGCAAGTTTCCAGATTGAGGCCTTTGGCTCTAAATTTATCCTTGACCTCACATTGAATAAGTAAGTGCATGATTTGAAGTTTCTTTTGCTGCTGCTCTTATTATCTTATGGTGCAAGGTCAGGGCATGTAATATTTCAAGATCTGTTGAAAAGAGATGCTGTTATCCAAGTTTACTAATACAAAACAACTTTTAATATTTTTCATGTAAGGTATCAGTAACCCTTGCTGACACCCATAAAGTAGATATCTAGCCTTAAAATTTTATTGTTCATGGTAAAATAAATTATGATAGATGGAGAAATTCCAGTACTGGTACTGTTTGCGCAGTGTGGATTTTCTTGTGCTTTTTTTTAACTAATTGTCGAATTATCATGAGATGTTTTAGTTGCTCAAGTCAGTGTGTAGGAATATTGTAAATACTTGTATGAATGGCTCATCTTTAATGATCTGGAAGTCATACAATTGTTACTACAGTCATGAAGTTCCTAATGAGATGGGAACTGTAATGGTGTGGCTGCTCTGAAAGGTGCAGCTAGAGTCTGTTTGACTGTGAGAGACAATATTACATAATTGTTTGGTCCAGAAGAACTGACTTGCAATAAAGGGTAGTGGTGGTTTAGTTGTTTGTGTCACACATGCTTTTATATCACTGCTGAAGGTATGGAACTATGATTTTCTAAAAATTAGAATGACTTTTTTTTGCCATTGAAAGTTTAAGAATAAGGTAGAAGTATAAAATTCATACTAAATACTGGACAGGTAAAATGTAATGCTCAAAAGTGCATTTGCCCCTTCTATGGCCCTTGAGATTGAGCATGTTTAAAAAAGGAGAAACAAATTTACAGGAACAATTGCTGATTTTAAAAAGCATTCCTCTGATCTTGAGGTTCCTATGAGGTCTTTCTTTGGTGTTAAACTGTCATATATGTTTTGCATCTTTATCCCTATATGTTAAAGTTACAGCTTTATCAAATTTGCAGAATTTCTATTTGCGTATTTTGCTTTTTGGCTGCTGTGAAGGTGACCTGGAAACATTTTCCTTCATCCACACATAATTTTGAAATTAGATTGCTCTTCCATCTTTCAAAATGTTATGTGAAGAGTGTCTGGCAAAAGATGAATTGGTGGGAGGGCTGGGAATGTCACACAGAATTGAAGGACAAAGAAGGCTTCAAGATAACTGTGTTCTCTAGGCTCTGGAAAGAATATAGTGTAGTGCAAGACTGTGTGGTTTTGTGAGGGTTGGACCTGTGCATAGTAATTCCAGTGGATAATCATGGCATATCTGTGAAGGGAACCAATGTTTAGTGCCCTCTAAGCTACAGGGAATTCCTCCTCTTGGTCTGCTTGCCACTGCTCCTGTCTGCACATCCAGTGAGTAGTGAGAGTGAGCACACATTCCCAAGATGGCACTGCATGTAGGGTATTGCTGGTCACACAGACAGTGACAAAGAAAAAACATTGCCTTTACTGGCACCACGTAAACATGCTGACAGCACTTTGGTGAATAGGAAGGAAACAGGCTCATGAAGCTGATGAGAATTGAAAATTTGCTGGTGAAAGGTACGCCAGCTCTCTCCTGATTCACGGGCAGGCCAGCATTCATTGATGCAAATATTAACAAAGGCTTTAAGTTCATTCAATATTGATGCCTAGGACTGAAATTTCTTATGTGGTCACTGTCTTAGGCCTTTTCTTAGTCTTTCCAGATACAGATCTCCCTATCGTTGTTGACTGACTCTTGAATTTCCTTGCAGATCACACCTATGCAGAGTAGAGAGCAAGGTCACAAAGTAGGATGTAGGACTTAGCAGTGATCAGGTGCAGGGCTGTGCCAAACAAGCCGACTGTCTTGCAGCTTACACTAGTGACTCCTTTTTAGGCCATGTCCTCTCCATTTTCCAACACGTTCTGTCCTGATTCACTTTCTCTACCCTTGGCACATTCCCTTGAATGCTCCATAAAAATGATTGCGCATATCCACAAGTCTGGGCAAACATCCTGAGATAAGTTTGTTCCTTCCCTGGAGACAAATTATGTTGTTTACTGCTTCTTATCTGTTCTAAAGTTCTGGCTGAACCTCTTCAAGACCATGCCTGAGTGGCTGCTTCTATGGCCCATTGGTCAGTGGCCTAACGGCAACAATAATGAAGACCAGAACTCTTATCTCCTGTTCATTAGGATTTGGGTTTTGTTACATTTCCTGTCAGAGTCCCATGGTGAATGGCTATTGTCCAAGTAAAATCACAAACCCATTGACATTCCCCATATCCTGGCAGTGTTAGCTCTTGTCCCCCTGCTGTTTGTGCTTGCTTATTTTTAACAACAAATGGTTCATAAAGTAAATGTATGGATTTTTTCTAATTATGGCTGCTTTCTCAGCAATCAAGAAGTGCAGAGCCTATTACTTCAAAAAGAGAGAGGCAACTTACTTGCTGTGTACCTAAGCTGAAGAAGTTCTGCTCTTGTGATATCAGGAATATTCTTACTGCCCATATATAATGCACAGGGTGTTCAGATGCCTTACTGATACCCCCACTGTTTGTCTCTTTATATGTTAGGTTTTCTACTAGCTTCCTTAGTGTTTTTTGACTCATAAACTGGTTTTGACTCCTTATCTGGTTCTGCTCCAGAAAATGATTCCAAAAACTTACTCTGCTTTTTCACTGGACATAATAGTCTAAAACTTGTCATAAAACTTGTAACATAAATTGTAAATTCCCATAGAAAATGATTTGAAAAAGACCCATTCTTGTGTTTCAGTTATGTTTATGTATTCAGCAAAAAGCAGTGTTTTGCTACTGTGTTGGGTTTTAGTTGGCATACTGGTACTGCTAATGTCTGGTCAGAAGCAAAGGCAGAACAATTGGGAATACCCTTGTATATGATGAATATATTTTTGTATCAGATGCTCTAAGGTGAGTTAATGCCACTGACACTGTATGTATCCTCTGCATTTTGTTTTTGTTCCTGTGTTTTTTTTTGAATGCTCTACAAGTAATTAAAGCTAAAATCAATGATGGTTGTTATATACAAACAGGTTCTAGTTTTTAGTTTTCTTTACCTCTGTTGGAAAATGTGATTGCCTACCTTCTATGTTGCAGATGTTGTTTATATCACAGCAAATATTATAACATGACAATTAAGTGAAGAAAATTGGATACTCGATTTCATTAACAACTGTTGAGATTTTGTAAGAAGAGGTGGCAGTCTGAAGGTTGATGGAGCATGTTACTAGAAAATTTTACTTTGTTTTCTGTCTTGCCATGATGCAATGGCACAAACAGCTTCAAAGAAATATGAGCCCCTCCAGCACTTGAATCCAGTGTGCAGAGACAATTCATATGTAAGATTTGTATGGAGCTTGAATAGGTATCCAACTTTGAAGTTGCTTTGCAACTTTGAAGACGGTCTAAACCAGATGAAACGTAATTTGTTATTCTAAAGGTGATTTTTAAAGGTAGCTTTTTCTGACAAGATTCAGGGAGAAAGAACTCAGTTTTGAATTTCTTAGCAAGGAATTCAGTTTCCTTACTCTGAAATTTTAGAACATCTTGCCCCTTGCTACACTCAAATGTTTGACCAGTTGCAGGCTCTCAGTGTGATGCCAATTATGATGATGCATAATAATTGCAGGTATGTTGATTGTGGAAATAACTTCATGCAAAAAGTAATAGTTTTTATAATCTTAATGGATTAAATAATATTTTTAGTTAATACTCTTAGTACAAAAATGGAAGATTGTAGGGCAGTAGTGGGGTAACAATCCCATTTGAAAAGTTAGACCTAAAATTCAGCTATGATTGTGTCCCCAAACTCAATAAATTTCTTATGCAGTAACATGTAGCATTGCCATAAAACACAATTTATATAAAAAGCTTTTAAAAATGTTCTCTTATTTCAATAAGTTGACTTTTGTCCTCAAACAACGTTGTAACGTCGTATTTGGGTAATCAATTATCCTAGTGTATCTGACCAGTTTCTTATTTTATATTGATGCATTATTTACACAAACAGATGTTTTGAAGGTGCTAGGAAATTAGTTTTGAATGATCTCATTTCCAGCAATATGTGAAAGGCTTTTAATTTGTTGTTGTTCTGCTGAAAGAGAAGAGTTTTTGCAGGTAGCTCTTAATGCCCTGTTTAAAGGTAGCAGGCGTTATGTTCTGGTGTAGTACTAAAACACATTGAAGAGCAGCACTACCAAAACCAGTGAATTAAAAATGTCTGCTTGTTGCTTTTTTAGTGATGAGGGAAGTCAGCTGTATTTTCTGGCATTTTGCAGCCATGGTCTAGTACTAGCCTCTAAATAAAGAGGTCTTCACCAGCATAGGGGGCTGAGGCTATTCTGGAACCTTCACCAACTGGAACCGTGGTGGCTGAGACACATCGAAGAATAGGAAATTAGTTAACTGATATGGACAGAAACAGAAGGTAAAACCCAAAGACAAAAATTTCTCTCTCTTCCTACTGATAACTTGCCTCAAAATGTAGGACTCGTGGGGAAGGGGAGGAAAACAAAAAATCATCAAAATATTTTTTAGCTTTTCCTTCTTTTCTCTGTAGAAGTCAATTTTTCCAGGAAACTCTGTTTCCAGGAAAATGTATTTCTTTTCAATGAAGATATCATAGAAGAAATACTTTTCATCTCTGGCATGAACTGAAAAAAACCCAACCCCACTGCATTTGACCATAACATGACTTAACAATTTGAGACATTAAAATATGATGACTATGTTGGAAAGTCAGTTTATTTTTTGAAGTGCAGTCAACATAACAGCAAATTTTGTCTAATAGTTTAAACTTTATAATTGGTGTTTTTTCTTTGTGGTGTTTTTCTGTACTTGAGAATGGTCCCAGAGGAAGTTACAATGTTAACCTAATTTAAAAAACAATAGGGCAGTAAGTGAACTATTTGAGAAACTACTTGATTCTTGGGGATTTTTCCATAATTCTTTTTTAATGAAAATGGGAAAGCTAGTCACAGTTTTTCAGAAGGAAACTTTGAGTATTTATGACATTTTCTTAAATTAACACTTAAACTTTTAGGGTATCAAAT